CGTGTAGAGTAGAGTTACAACAACATCAACAAAAGATGACAAGAAAACTGTTCCGATTTAAGTGTAAATTAGACGGCGGATACTCCGTCGATTAGAAGTTAAGAGTTTCCCTTGCCGAACGTTCCGCGTCGAGGATACGCGTAATTGTAAATAACGTCGAATGTACTGTTCGTCTATTTGTCCGGTATGTTGTTTCTGAATTTTGGAATTTGCGTGACTTTCCCTGTAACTGTATTTCTATATTTCACTTACGAACGTCTCATCGATTCGAAGAATCAATGTGTGCTTTAATAAAGTTTGATTTGGTCGAATGACACTTGCGCTTGAACTTCTACGGAAAATGTGAATGTTTTTAGTTAAACCAATAAACGAGCGTTACAAGAGAGAAGGATATTATTTGGATTATCGAATATTTGTAGACTGGATGTGCCAGCGACTTCTAGCGCGCGGTGCTCGCCTGCGCAAGCGTTGAAATCTCCGTCGCTAGAACGACGCCAGCCTCTAGAACGCTGCACGACTTCGAAGAAAATATTGATTCTTTGCAAAATTCACGGACAACACTCGTTGGATGATAATCGAGGCTACCGATTCATGTGAAACTTCACTTCCGATCGTTGAACTACACGAGATAGATGCACAATACTCGATAAGGACTCGTGGCTGTACATAACGGTTATCATTACTTCCCGAAGAATCAAAGTATACTTCGAGTCGAGAACAGCGAATGAAATTTTGCGCGTAAGCTTCTCCTATCCGATCACCCGGTGGAAAATAAGATCTCCGGGCGACACGTGAACAAGTTGTTTTCAAGCTGCAATACGTCGATGAGCATCGATCGTCTCGTAGAGTTCTGTTTCCGCGAAGCACCGTTCTGTGCACGATTAAACGTTGCATTAACGACAGCACGGTACTCGATCATTTATTTTTGAATTAATGATTAAGGGAAACGACCGCGACACGTCGAAGGGATTTCTCGTGCACAGAATTACTTCGCTGTAAATAATTTCCATTGATTTTCTATCGTCGTTAGTGGCAACAGCAGTTCTCTATCTACTCTGTCGAATGCTTGTAATATTAATAGTTCCTCGATCGATAAGAAGAGTGCTGCGAGGATCGAATACGAGAAACGAAGCAGAGGAAACGATAGAATAATCATGGTTATACACGTTTCACTAAATCGAGGTGTCATTATTGTTCGAATCGATTAAACATAGGCATACCTACACGCATTGCGAATCACCGTAAAGAATGTTAAGTTTTCTAAGCGATAAGATGAAGCTGAAATAAGACAGTATATATTATTAATGTTACGATGAACGTGAAATCGTGTAGATTAGAATTCGCGGTGCTCGCCGTGTTTAAACAATCTAATGTTAATGATTTCGAAGCCGAGTCTCAAGCCGATGCGACGCACACTTGATTCTCCTGTCAGCTGTCGACTTCGCTGTTCACTTGTGAATGAAAGCCAGAGGTGTTAAGGCAATGGAACAATTTATTCATTCATGCTTACGTAATTAATGCACATTCATTTCATAGAATCTCTCTGTCTCTCTCTGTTTCTGGGAAAAATAACGATAATACATTTCATTACTATTAATATGCGAAATAAATATTTTCCTGACTTTAATTCTCATGAGATTATTACTGGAGTGTAAATTTAGTTGAATAGAAAAGTGACAGAGACAGGAAAATCAGTTTGCGAGCTGACGTACGTCTAAGCGCACACGGTCGATCGTTTAAACGATGCGGATAATAAATCTAAAGAGAGATAAATAAATAAATAAATAAATATATATATATGTACTATATTTAAAATCGACGGATTGAGGAGGATCGTTATTCAGCTTCCACCGTAAACGATCGCGTAGAAGCGTGGGTATCCAGGACTGCCAAAAGAGCGCGAAATTTCTAAAATCTGTAGCTTCCTTTTCCACGAAAGGGGTTCGCGTGAATAAACCGCGGCGCAACACACAAAAATATTCGTGTCAAAGCTTCACAAAATGGAATAATTAAACGCGTTGTTTGCGATGCCTTCCCGTTCGACACGATCCACCTAAACCTCGTTGAACGTTCAAACGGGACTTTTCAGTTGGAATATTAATTGCAATAGCGACTGATTGCGATCGCGTTCAGTGAAGTATTAATAATTCTATTCGACGAAGGTGTAATCGAAATGTCACGGTGGAAAAGCGTTTTCCATATTGCGGGGTTAACTGAGGGCCGTAGTATCGTAAGGGGAATAATTTAAAAACGAGAGAGAAAGGGAGAGAAAGGGAGAGAAAGGGAGAATGAAAGGAAACTGAACGAACGAACGAACGAAAGTGAGGGAAAGCGAGGGAGCAAGAGAATGAGAGAATGAGAGAGAGAATGACAGAAAGGAAAAAATGAGAGAAAAAGAGAGAGAGAGAGAGAATGAAAGCGAACAAG